TTTTTAGTAGCAATGGGGTTTCATCATATTGGCCAGGCTGGTCCCAAACTCCTAATCTCTAATGATCCACCTGCTTCAGCCTCCCAAAGTGCTGAGATTACAGGCATAAGCCACTGCACCTGGCCTCACTCAACAAACATCCAGGGCCCACTGTGTACCAGCCAGGCTGTCTATGCTAGGGGATGGGGGTATATCAATAAGACAAACATGGTCCTCACGTTGCTTACAGGAGAGGAGGGATGACAGACAATGAAAGGGACAGTATGGGGTGATGAATAAGGCAGCCAGGTTGATACCCCAGCCCTACCACTTGGGTGACCCCAGACAAGCTCATTTTTGTTGTTGTTGTTGTTTTGTTTTGTTTTGTTTTGAGACAGGGTCTCACTCTTTCACCTAGGCTAGAGTGTGGTGGTGTGATCACAGTTTACTGCAGCCTTGACCTCCCAGGCTCAAGCAATCCTCCCACCTCAGCCTCCCAAGTAGAGCTGGGACTACAGGTGCATGCCACAATGCCTAGCTAATTTCTTAATTTTTTGTAGAGATGGGGTCTCCCTATTTTGTCCAGGCTGGTCTCGAACTCCGAGGCTCAAGCGACCCTCCCACCTTGGCCTTCCAAAGTGCATTCTCCCCACCTACACACCCCTTTGTGACCCAATGGAGTCAGGTGTCTCCGGGTTTGAACGGCTAGGCAAATAATTTATCGAGTGTTGTGAACATTCAGCCATAAACGTAGCGACCTAACCCGGACGCCCAATTCATCCTATGTTCTCAGTAAATACCAGTTTCACGTCTTTCCTCTCTAAACACAATCTTTTCTCCTTCTCCTCACTAGCAGGCTGGGAGGGCCAAAAGGAGGAGATTAGGGTTGGGGAGAAACTGACTCTTAGGCAGCAGGGGAGAAAGTGTGTTTTTTATTTATAGTGCCATTTGCAAAAGGGGCAAACTGTCTGTCACCACCCCCTCCACCAACTTTACGGGCGGAGGAGGGGGAGTCACTCCTCCCGTTACCCCCCGCAACCCTCAGTAACCTATAACCTGGGGAAAGGGTCCCGAGAGCCGGACCGGGACGCTGCGCCGCTGGGTTTAGGACCCGAGAGCGGAATGGGCAGGAGGTGGAGGTGCACTTCTGCAAATCTCAGGAACCGGAGCCCTGGAGGCGGCGGATGAGAAAGTCCACAGCCCTGGCAATTTGGGGTGTGTGGGCAGGGATTTAGCGTTATGTCCACAGCCGCTCTAGTGAGGGTGCCCCCACCCACGCTCCTCGGAAGGGCAGCGCTCCATCGCCACCCTGCTACCCTTTCCCCAAGCGCCCAATCCCACCTTGGCTGGCGCTCCGGTAGCCTCCGGGGGAGGAGGGAGGCGTGGCCTCGGGCGGCCCGCCCCTTTGATGTGCGCCGGCGCCTCTGTGATTGGACAGTCGCTTGTGACGTGTGGGGACTGCGGTG